AACGATCAGAGACGGCTCTGATTTTACATCACTTGACAAGGTGATCAGAGTGTCAACTTTACCCCAGTATACCATCTCAGTGGCTTAATGTAAGGGCATTGGCTTAGCCTCTGCAGAAAGAATTGCATTAAGTAGGAAAAAAATCCTAATTGCAGCACTGGACATTAAAAAATCTGTTCTTATTTATCATAGAGCTGCATAAGCTATTTTATTTATTTTCAGTTCTTTTTTTGGACATTTTGCACGTTTTTTATCAATCCAAACAAGAGTCACAGACTCTGGGCTTTCTAAAAGGCATGGCAAAGGAAAGAAACTGAGCTCCTAGCTGAGTTAAAGCCAGTGATGATCCTGTTATTCAGGAAGCAAGCATAAAAATAACAATGTAAAGTAAATTGTGGGTTGTCATTATTTATCCTGGGCATTCTTTCCTTCCACACATGCTGTGAAGTGATTGGATTGCAGTTATTAGCAAAGACTCTGCAGCTGTAATTGCCATATCAGGGTTGAGTCATGGGGAGCTGTGTGATGGCTGTGAGCAGCGAGGAAAAAGGAGGGATGGATGACAATAATTGGGTTTGTTACATTTGATTGATGCACACTTTCAATCAGCTTCTCATCATTTTCTCAAAAATTATGAACTATAAAACATGATGTAATTACTGATAGGATCTTGGCCTATCAACAGTTTATCTACTTTGGAAATTACTGGCATAATGTTGCAGGGTAAATGGAGCACCTCTAGGCTGGAGCTGGAGCTGACCTATTCTGAAGAGCTGGAAGTAGACCCAATTCACCTTCCAGGGGAACAACCTCAGTTTTATTTATGTGCATGTAGGTGAAAACTTGTCGCAAACTTACACAGAATCTTGGTTACCTTTGAGTTTTCCAAGAACAGACGAACACAGATTGGACTTAATAAATGCTTACTTTGCTTATCTGCTTTGAACTGATGTTGGTGTTTCCAAAGCCATTTCTGCTGTTTCACATTGAATCTGGTCCAACTGGTCTTTGTTAGTGGAAAAGGCTGTTTCCATGAATGAGGGTGCTGAACAACACATCAACAAGGTCTAGACACTTGTAAATGGAACATACAAGGCCAGTGAATGCAGCAAGCTAGTACTTTCTAATACTTACTAATACTTACAATTTAATCACAGTCACACAACAAAACCTTATACATTTTTGTGCCTTTTACACAATGCAATACTGCTACAATTAATCCCAAAAGGATTCACAGGTGGGGCAGATCTAGATTACAACAAACAATTACATTTTATCCAACATATTTCTTCTGTCTGTGATGGACTGGCAGCCTGAGAGGGGGCCCATTCTTTGAAAGCTGGGCGTGTAAGATAATGAATAGATGTTCCTTTTATCTGGAAGTGACTCTAAGGTTTTGGAGAGACCCAGTTCTTACTTTACTTGAGAGGGAATCTATGGAATAATGTAAAGATTAGGGTGATGGCAAGATGGCTCTCTAATATAAAACACTCGGGCCTCATCGATGGTCATAAATAGAGGTGGGTGATATATATCACTTATGATTGTATTACAAATGTTACTTTAAAGATGTGCAATTTTACATTATTTATTACATATACTATCTCAAAAAGAAAACAAATGGACGGGGCATAAAAATCCTCATTGGGGAAGTTTGTCTCATTCAGCAGACAGTTAAACATACAAAGCCAAAATAAATAATAATGTATATTAATTGAATTACAAATGTAATGGAAAGATTTTCTGTCACATTTCAAATGTAATGGAAAGATTTTCTGTGGAAAACACACAGGATGACATAGACATATATTTGCCTGCCGTTTGCATGTGTACGTTTGGTAAACAAGTATGGGTTCAGTTTGCTTAAAGATCCTTTTTACGCATTTTGTTTTTGTGAATTTTTTTAATCTTTTTGCTTAAAAATAGGGGTGTGGTCAGATTATTGTTATAAAAAAATTGCAAAACTACACAGATTTTTTTTCTCCATACCATTTCTCCATACTTATAAATATCTATAGAGAAAGAATAAAAGCTAGACAGCAATTGTAAGAATAATAGGGTAGACTAGATCCTGTTAAACATGTTATTTTTGTTAAAATGTGACTAAAGACAACATCTAAAAAAAAAATTTATTTCTATATTTTCAGAGATGCTTGTATCTGACACAAAATTCTTTATTAAATTAAAATGATTTTCAATCTAAATCTGTCAGTCAGTGGATAATTTTAGATGAATATGTATGATGAAGATTTCCTCCTGAAGGCCAAACTTCAAACAATTTTTCTGTGTGGAATAGTACTGCTGGGGATTCTGGGTGTCTTCAGGAGTCAGATGATGACCCTTAAGAACCAGTGGTTGGTTTAACTTTCCTCTGGCCTAACCTCTTCAAATCTTTGTTGTGTTTTTTTGTGCGTGTCTTGATGGTGTCTCTGGGATCATGGGTTAGTGCAAAACACCTCAGATAAAAAGATGAGAGTGCAATGCCATGCAAAGTAGTGCATTCAAGTATAAATTTGCCATCTTTTAACAAAGTGCATAGACCATATACATGTGTAAGACAAAGTGCATAGACCATATACATGTGTAAGAGCCTTATGAAATCCATTTAATTTTTTCCCCAAATTTAAATTGTTTTCTGCTTTTGATTTTATCTGAATTACACTTTTTTTCCAATTTAACTATATGTATCAATCCTAATGACAGGTGAATGAAAAGTAGTACGACAAACAGTTTTAATGTTTAATGTTTTACTGGTTCAGCAAAACATTTAGTGTCATAGCAAAGCATTTAAAACTATTTAGCAAACACTTATTTTAAAGAACAACAAAACATGAAAAACACAGTATCACATTTTCCATGTATTTACAGTTTTTCTCAGCTGCTTTAGTGCATTTCTTAAATCATTTTCAACATTTGCAAAATAGTAAATGCATTTCTAAAAAAAAACTTGCACAAACAATAATACAGCTTATATTACTTGCAAAACCCAGTTTCTTTCTCAAAATCCTTGCTACTTCTCTCAAAATTAATCAAATCAAATCAAAATTTTATTTTCATAGCACATTTCAGCAGCAAGGCATTTCAAAGTGCTTTACATCATAAACACAAAGTCATGCATCATGGAATAAACAATACATTGTTCCATATTACATTTCAAATAAAACTCTAAACAGGTGTGTTTTAGTCGAGATTTAAAGGAAGTCAGGGTTTCTGCTGTTTTACAGTTTTCTGGAAGTTTGTTCCAAATTTTTGGTGCATAGATGCTGAAAGCTGCTTCTCCTCTATTGGTTCTGGTTCTGGGGATGCAGAGCAGACCCAGAACCAGAAGACCTGAGAGTCTGGAAGGTTGATACAACAACAGCAGATCTTTGATGTATTGTGGTGCTAAACCGTTCAGTGATTTATAAACTAACAACAGTATTTTAAAATCTATTCTTTGAGCTAGGAGCTCAAATGTCTGTTTCAGTGAACATGTCATTGTTTCATTGTGTTCAGACAAGAGTCACATTGATCAGTCGTGTTGTCAACATAACAGTGTAATCTGTAGGGATATTCTATTGTGAACTAGACATTTGATGTCAAGAATTGTAAATCGTAATGATGCAGTGTCAATGACAAGAAACTGGACAAATTTCAAAATTATGATTTTAGTGTAATTTGTTGGCAGACTATGACACTGTAAAAGAAAAACTAGAGGAGCTATAGGAACATAAGACAATCTCTTTAAGGAAAACTATACATGCAGTGCTGTAGGAATCACAATGCACAATGTTAGACTTTCCATCTCCACATTAAGAAACATTTCTTCAGGGGGTTAAAAAGTGAGCAGGATGAGAGGAATTCCATCAGCATCCTGTTGTGGGCAGCAAACCATATCCTGATGATAGAGTGATGCAAACTGGCATTATGTCCTCTGCCTCTTCTGAAAAAACCTCAACTTAAAATTTCCACAAACATGTCAGAATTCACATGGATAGTCAGAATTCCAATTAACCGATGTAGACTGTTCATCAGCAATAAAAGTTGAGGTGCATGTTTCACCTTACTTAAAACATTATGTACGTTAGAAATTTGCCATGGAGTGAAATATTCTACTCACTTAAACTAAATGTAATGCCCACAGGTTACTCTTGACCTCTTCTGTTTTGAAACTTTTTTGGGTCACACAAGAGCTGCTGTCCACACACAAACTATCAATCATAATGAATGTGAATTTTATTTTTCAGTTTGAGGAGACAGATATATAAAATTTTGTAATAAAGGACCCTTACTACATATTTTAGTCTAGTTTAGTTTAGATAGGGTTTTTTTTTTTTAAACTGATTGATAATAGAAGAAAAAATGTGTTGGAGCTCAGCATTTTTTGATTTCTGTTATCCCACAGCTAAATGATAAACGACACCTGCCGGGTGGCATATTTTGTGATTTATTTGTCTGGGAGAGACAAGAAGGTCTAATGCTAACAAAGACAGACGTAAAGTGGAGAGAAGGCTTGTGGAGAGATATGGTGGAGAGGACTGGACGTAGAGAGAAAAAAAAGACATTAGCAATGTTTGCATCTGTTCATGAGAACAAAGAGAATTTACCAGCTTCTGCTCTGTGTTTTTGTGTCCATCTATCAACATCTCTTATCTTATTGATGAGGAATGTTGTCTCCAGAAAGCTGGGCCTGGGTCCAAAGCTAACCTTATGTGCCTGAGAGGAGCAAAGTCATTGATATGGAGGGATTATTTCTTATTATGGTCATGTCTCACTTTGCACCCATCCTTCATCAATAACAGGAGTTTCTTCTGTTATTGCAGAAACACACTGCTGCACACAGCAGTATCACACTTCACTTGCTTCCCTGGCCATGCTGATGTATTTTTGTTTGTTTGTTTTATTTTGCATTGCTTAAAAGTTCATTTCCCATATTGAAGAACCTTTCAGACAGGCCTTAATACCGTGTAAAAGATACCAAGTGTTTCAGGGACTAATCTTTTCACTATTTGCCCTGACAGGAGGAGCCATATGTAATGTTCAAGAAATCTGACACCCCACTTTATGGGAACAACCGCTTTGAAGGCTACTGCATTGACCTACTGAGAGAGCTGGCAAACATCCTGGGCTTTACATATGAGATTCGCCTGGTGGAAGATGGAAAATATGGTGCACAGGATGAGAACACGGGCCAGTGGAATGGCATGGTTAAAGAGCTGATGGACCACGTAAGTACTATCTTTACAAAGACAATTCCAAAACGCTGAGAAAATATGTTGCTGCCATCCTTATACTTCTGATTTGGAAAGATGTTCTCAGGTTTGAAAGATCCCCCTACCAAATATAGACATTAAGGACAAATGATCCTATTTCACTTTTACAAAACATGTCTTTAAAAATTTAAGTGTTCAACCCTGAGTGAATTTTAAATTGCTAATCTGGTCTTTGGTATGACTTGTTTTTCTTGTACTAGTGGCCTTTCAGACTTTGCCTAAATTGCACATTTCTCATACAATTTGCAGAAAAATGCATTTTTTTTCTCTGGACACATACCTTTCTTTCTTCTGAAAAGTATGATTCAGGAGGGTGTTGTACTATAATAGTTGTTTAAGTAGATGAAGGTGGCACCTTAGGGCAAAGATGTCAAGCTCATTTTTATGTTGGACCACATAAAGGTCATGAATGTGCTGAAAGAGCTGGTTGTGGGATAAAATATTGACCTTTTGACAAACGGATATTTTAAATATTTACCCATTCTCACCAAACTAATTTGGCATAATGCAAATAAATACTTCAACTTATGAAATACTATGTAAGTACACAACTATGATTCTGTTTGTATGGCCCTCTGAGATCTGGGGTGTTCCAGACATAGGTATCCCTAAAATTTGACATTTTACCTAGAAATGAGCCAGACGTCCTTGCTTGGTTAGAATTACTAGACAGTTGTCTGTCTGTTACCTAAACTGATCTCAGATGGTTTCCCATTTTGTTAATCAAGAAAATAATTTGTTTAAGTTGAACCTTATATTATTTCCACAGATGTAGTTACCTCAAAAATTGTCAATTAACACTATATATGGTAAAAGCTTAATGGCTACAGGCAGAAATGATTTTCTGTGCTTCACTTTGGCAAAATGAGTGTCTAGCTGAAGGTGCTCCTGTATCCGGTCAGCATATGATGTTAGTAGATGAGACTCGTTGTCTAAGATGGCCAGCATCTTGGACAGGAAAAAGAGGGGCTCAGGGATAGAAGTGGGGTAAAAGGACAGATTAGATGGAAATGTAGGAAGAAATCCTAGGGCAATTGGCTGAGCTGGATTCACAAGTGCTTGAAGGTTTTGAAGAGAAGCTGGAGCCAAAATGAACTGAGAGGCAGAAGAAAGAGTACATGCACAGGGATTTTGTGCCTGTGAGGACAGGGATTAAATAACGGTGGATAAGAGCTGAGAAACAGCCATTGATTGAATTATGTCATCGTGTTGGAGGAGGAAGCAGAAGTTGAGGAAAAAGCCAGAAGTTTGGGATGTTGGGATGACAGCGATGCTGTTGTTTGTTGAGGTATTGAGGATGAAAACAATAAGAGTCTAAATTTGTTGTCTGAGCCGCTGAATGGGATGCCTTTCTCTTTTGAAGAGCATTGAAGGCAAATGATATTGCAGGATTTCAGAATTTGGAATGTTGGGATGCCAGAGGAGGAAGGCTGAGACGTGGACGTGTTTGTGTCATTTGGTTGAGAGGCTCGGGAATGACCCTGTGGCCTGGGAGAATGAGCTTGTTGTCTGACACCTTGAAGCGGTCCATGATTATGGAATCAGGATGTTGTTGGAGGTGAGAGATGAAATGACGGTGATGTAGTGTGAGTTTGTGGATCAATGCAACATGTTTCATAATGTTTGCTTTGAGTCTGTAGAAAGCCTGATGTCAATAATTATTCTATTTCAGGTGTTGTAGTTGCTATCTACATTAATTCAGGCTGATTATAGTGTTTACTGTCATTTCACACTCAGCAGTAATTTATTGTTTTTACTGTTTTATGAACAATAAAAGTTTTGCAATTCACCCAGAGAAACTGAAAAATATTTCTGCAGACATGGATGCCTGCAATCATATAAGTTGTTTTGGGGTTGCTCTCTTTACACTGGTTGATCCTGTCATCCACTTTTTCTTTTTTCCATCCTCCAGTTATAACCTGGGTTGAGTTATGTGTTGAGGATGTAAATGTGTTTACTTCAAAATGTCACCTAATTGGCTGAGAACAAACAAAAGCATAACCAGTAACGCTCGGTATGATAATGAGCTGTAGGTTTCTCCTATATCTTCTGAAATGGCTCAGATTTACTCTGATTTATGAGTTGAATTCAAAAACATAGTTTATCCTTTTAAATCATCTGAAACTGCAATGTTTTAAAATCACTGTGAGTTACAATATATAGTTAGTCTAACCACTGCTAAAAAGAACAATCTGGACAAATCACTACTGCAGAATTACAGACTGACCTCTGACCTCTCATTCATCAGCAAAGTTATTGAAAAAACTGTGTAAACAATTAAATAGTTTCCTCATGATGACCAACTGCTTTGACTCTTTCCAATCTGGTTTTCGTGCTCACCACAGCACGGAGACTGGCCTAGTCAAAGTATTCAATGATATCCATATAAATACGGACTGTGGGAGAACCACAGTGCTGGTTCTGGTTCTGTTGGACCTCAGTGCAGCTTTTGACATATTACTGAATCGACTGGAGAGTTGGGTTGGACTCTCTGGTTCGGTGCTCGACTGGTTTGAATCTTACATAAAGAACAGGGATTTCTTTGTTTCAATTGGAAACTTCTCATCAAAGAGGTCAAAGGTCACATGTGGACTGCAGGTAAAAGAGATCTGTACCAATCAGACAGTAGGTATAGCGGCCCACAACCACCAGCACACACCCGGATGAGCATGATGGTCAGAAATTAAAAACTAGCTAAATAATCTAAAAAAATAATTTAAATCATTGGGCTAGTGGTGGAAGATGCTGGGTTCCGCAGTCACACGATTCTGAGACATTCGTATTTCATGTTTAACCTCCACCAGACTGTGGACTCTCCTATTGAACGTCTACTTAAAGCTGCAGCATGTAACAAAAAAAACAACTTTTTACATGTGTATTAAGACTTCTGCTGTCCTAACACGAGACAGATAAGCTCTGAAAAAATATTGAGCTCTTCTGCCCCCTCCCTTTGTTCTGCACTCGGTCAGAAACGACCAGCAGAAAACAGCTGGCCATGCTCTCAGGAAGTTTTGAAATTCCAACATTCAGATGTTAGTATATCTTAGAAAAGAAACAATGCTGATTAGGGAATTGTTTTTTTTTTCTTCTTATATCTGCATATTCTGACCTTTCTTAAAATATTAACATATTTTTTTCACATTTTTTCATATGTCAAGAAAAAAAGTCAGACACGTTACTGACTTAAAACTGAATATTTAGTTGTAAGTCATAAAGAATGAGAAGTCCAAAGGAAGGTAAAACTAAGTAAAACAATTCACCATAAAAAGAAAACTGGGACATAAAGATGGCTCAGATGGAAAGTACAATTTTCCAACAACAGCATAGAAATTCATGAGTTGTTTCCCCCACAGAGCTTATTAAAGAACAAACACAAGAGTCTGCTCACAGTGTTGGACATTGCAGCAAAGTCACAATTAAGATAAATTACATGGACAGACAAATAGCAGGCGCTACATGGCCAATAGTCAATATCTGACCTCATTAGATGTTGTACCTGCAAGGGGTCAAGTGGCCCTTAACGTTTTCACAGTTGTCTTCTGCTTTTGATTGGTGTAGCAATTGTCCGTTGTGACAGATAGTCTTGGTTTTACATGGGTGAAGAGCCCAGTCCGCTGTGAGGTGTTGCGCCATGTGTTTACCCCACTTCTTACTCTTGACTTAGACAGATGGTGATTGCAGCAGACAAGGTCTCAGAAGAGTTGAGAGAAGTGGACACAAAATGTGCGATCAGGCTCAGAAGGACTGCTGAACTGTATTGAATAAGCTTCAAGGATTACATCCAAAAACAATTTTACGAATAATTTTTAATCTGTGATATGTGTGAAGTTTAACTAACATATTGTGATTTAGATATTCATCCATCCATTTTCTTACACCCTTGTCCCTAGAGGGGTCTGGAGGCGCTGGTGCCTACTGATGATTTACTTATGTTGTTCTAATTTTTAAACGTTATGATGTGAATCACAGATGCCTCTTATCAGCAACATGTAAATATAATCTCTGTCAGAGCATGCAGCTTAGTCAATTCATCCTGTAGTGATGAATGACAACCTACATGAGACTAAAACAATATATATTTGAGGGATGAGCCCCGTCACCTTGTGAATGATTAGCATCTGGAGTCATAATCCAGAATGAGATTTATTAATTGTCAAAAATTCTTACAGTACAATATTTTCTGAGTGAAGCAATATGTAACTACAAAATGCTTCTCTGCACTCACTTACAGTGAGTGCTTTTAGGGTAGCACTAGACCTAACCCTCACCCTAACCCTAATCCAGCTATGTCCTTTTCACATATAGCTGTTAGATACAGCTGTGTGTGTTAACACAAATGTTGTTTCACAATTCTGCGACTGCTCAATCTATTTCGACATCTAGGCTCCTGCTTTGCATCCACAATGGCTTTTTTTTTTTCAACTAATCTGGCATTAGAGATATTATTCATCTGCCTTAAGATATATAAATATAAATACCTTATTATGCATCGGAACAATGGTATAAAAGTAAAAAAAGGTATCAGCAAAAGTTCTTCCACCCGCAGAGTATTTCAGATAGGATAGAATAAACATCCAACAAAATAGTTTTAGCCAGTTATGGAGAGATAAAGAAGAATGTAACAGAGCTACTCCAACATGTTCCCAACCCAGGCATCACAATTTTATATATATATTTTTCGTAGAATCAGAAAAAATGTTGAATGACGGAATGTTGCTGATGCAAGATTCAGGCTATTCTGAAAATATCAAACTTTTCAGAATAGTTTGATATTCTTCTACAATCGGAAAAGAGAAAATATTTATGGAATAGCAACTGCGATTGATAACCTGGCCATATATCCATATTTATAGTGAGGATAAAAAGTATTAATTTTCCTCCTCAAATAAGTATTTGGACACCCTGTGACTTTGCAAGTTCCTCTTAGACATCATAGAAGCTAATATAGCTTGAGATAATACCTGAGTATTGATGACCACATTGTAATCTTCTGATGTCACTTACAGCAGTATAATGGACCATTTCACAAAGTTCAAACATGTCAGAGTGGTTCCTTGGAATGTTAATGAGTTCTGCTATAATTAGAATTGTTGCATCATGCTGTTATGAATGCAAAAGGGACTTCAAACCAGCACTAGCAATGAGTGTCTAATAAAGTAGCTAGCTGGATTATATAAAATATAAGTGTGACCTAATGATATATTGATATATTAATGATATTTACAGCAAATATTTCTTTGTATTAATATCAGAATTTGTTACAGGACAGTCCCATCTGTTTACTGGTAGAATATTACAGTTAAAGAGGACTTATGCTCTTAAATCCTTCCTTTTCATATGTAAATTATTTTCACATATATAGATTTATGGTCTATGTAAAGCAGAACTGCAAACCTTTGGTCTGAATTCCTGGTTATTGTATCTCCACAAGCCCCTCATTTTCCTTTGTTCTGAGGCGTTTTAGATCATCTCACTTTGCTGTGTTTTCTTTAAATGTGAATGAGACGTTTCACACTCCAACCCCTCCAGGCTGCAGAATGTTCCACTCCACCCCTTTTGGCCATTTTAGTAGTTTGACAGCAGAAATACAATTACCTTCTGACAGAAAAACAATTTATTCCAAAATGTATTATATATTATATGGACCAACCAGCATTCATACACGTTGGAGCCAGAGTCCTACTCAGAATGAAGACAACAAACCCTGCAGAACCAAACATTCAAATGAATGTATCATTGGTGTTATTAGTGTATTTACACTCTCTCTGTCCATAATAACTACCTAAAATATGGAGCATAGTCTAACTATGCTGTTCATGAACGACAAATGCCTATCAAAATATTAATGCTACAACAATAGACACTCAAAATACACAAAAATGTATTAAAGGGGTAAAAAGATGGATTTTGCATGTTATGTCACCTTTAAATCTCATTCCTATGTATGAGAATATTGTTAATTAAGAATTCCCAGACCATGTTAGGCTTATTGACAGTCAACACTGCAACTTTCATCATATTTGAAAATATGACAAAACAAATTAAACAAAGAGAAAAACATAAAAACAAATAACAAATTTTAGGATTTCAGAAAAAGAAAAATATTAGTGAAACAGTGAGAGTATAAATAAAATGAAGAAAAAGAGGATTTTAAATTTCTTGCAAAGTGCTTTTAGACATTTTAAAGTGTATAAGAAATGTGTCTTTTAATTTGGTTGCCTCTAAATGCTTTCTGTACCTGTAACTTAAAACATATCCTTTTTCTTGTTTCTTTTTGCTGTTGACAGAGAGCTGATCTGGCAGTGGCTCCCCTCGCCATCTCATATGTGCGTGAGAAAGTTATTGACTTCTCCAAGCCCTTCATGACGCTGGGTATAAGTATACTGTTCCGCAAGCCCAACGGGACCAACCCCGGGGTCTTCTCCTTCCTCAACCCACTCTCGCCTGATATCTGGATGTATATTCTGCTGGCTTACTTGGGTGTCAGTTGTGTGCTGTTTGTCATAGCCAGGTAACATATCACTTTGAGTGATTGAAACTCCACACAAAGTCAGACACATGTCTAGTTTCCATCAATGATATCACCCATCTGACTCTGAACATTTTTAATGGTAGTCCTCTGTGACAGTGCTGAGATTAATTAAAGTTTAGGCTCAATATGATCACACTTACATGTTTTCAATGTTAAATCGTGATGAGCCACTAAGATGGTCTCCATGTTCGACTCACATACACGTTTTTCAGATGAAATGTCTTCTTCCAGATCAACGTAGGTTTTGGGACAACTTGATATATGAAGATGGCAACAACATTCTAGTAGCCACAGGTGTTGGGGTCCTGAGCAGAGATACTGCAGACCTCTCAACCATCTCAGGGTTTTATGTGTCTGGGAGAGTTGGAGATTCCCTGTGTGCTCATACAGTGTGTGTGCATAAGTGTGTGAGATGTGTCAAGGTTGATGTTAATAGTGGCAGCTCCTTCCCCCCTCCTTCCCTTTACTGTCCCTGGTGTCTTAGTCTTCATGCTGTCTTTTCTATTCTCTTGTTTTCTTTATCTTTCTTCAAATACAGTATGACTCTGACTCAGGATTATTTTTGTCTGTTTGTTACCAAACACATTAGTTGGCATTTTAGCTCTGAAGTTACCCAGTTAGACATAATAAATCTGTTAACACTCCCTCTTACCTGGACTTGAGAAAATTGCTATTTTTAGCTAAAAACAAAGAGCAATGTATACCAATTGGCTAAAATTAGACTTTTTGAATAATATTCTAAGTCTTGACTTTAAAATTGTAAATCAGTTAGGATCAAGCTTTTTTTCTAGATGAACTAGGTAAAATCATTCATACAGACTCAGATATAAACAGGAAGACCCTCTACTACTTGGCCAAATTTTGTTTGCTAAAAAACAACACCCTTTTTATAGCCATCAAGTTTTTTGACAATAAAGGCTTGTGTTTGACCTGGTCTTCTTTGTACTATAGATCTGAAAATACATAAAAGTAAATGCTGTGTGTGGATTACAGAAGGTATTCTGTATGCCGTACAAGTTGACACTCAGATCTCTGAATGAGTTCATTTTTTAAGCTCTTTGATTTGAAAGTCCTGGAATAGAAAGAGGAATGGTTGTTTCCTACTGGCTCAGATTGTGGTGTAGAGTTTATAGTCGGTTCTTCTTGTGTAGAGCGTTTATATGTCATCTTCTTCTGTAGACCCTAATCATAAAATCAAGCAGGAGTGTTCAGTTGTTCTGAAAAGAATTTCAACTGTGCTTTATATTAAAAGACAGTGGGGGAAATAAGCAAATTTGAATCACTAAAGACTCAATGAGTCCTGATTTGACATCGTCAGGCACAAAGTGTTCACCATGATTATGTTTCTTTTTGAGTGAGTGATTCAAACTGTTTTTTGTGGAGGTGTAGGTAAAATCAAGACTATTTTTAAAAAGAATTTAATACATCTTGGGTGCTTGTTGTATGTTCTTGTAGCATTCTGCAAGTCCTTTGGGTTGGGAAATTGCCTCTTCTTTGGCAGTTTGAATCTTGGTGAAGAGTAGAAGAGTAAAAAAAGTCCTGTTAACCCTAAAACTGTTGGGCCACAGGGCTTTCTTGCAGACTGAACCCAGCAGTTCTACTGTTAACACACAGTTTTGATGTTACTGGCATTATGATCATGCAAGAGAATGTAAAGCAGCAACTGTCATCTAAGTTGGCTCAGAATATGCACCCATCTGTTATTATTATCACTATTAAAATATTTGGGTAAGTGTATTATTTTCCCCTTCAGCTTACCTTCTATTATCCTGTGGACACAAATGCATGCTGGGCTATGGTTGCATGTCTTTGCATTATGGATAGCACAAATCCACAAAATGTCTAGATGGGAGAAGACTTTGTGAACAGAGACGAGTGATTTTACTTTCCTCCATGATGAAATATAAGACCTCTAGATTTTTGTAAATTTATTTAACTTTATAGAACTATATATGCTGATTTTGATTCTTCTGGTTAGATGTTGGTTTTTATCCAGCATTAGATGGACTGGATTATATTTCCCTTAACATTTTCACAGATAATAATTGTAACAAATAATATTTTTCTTTTAAATTAATAAGGCCTAGGCCATGTTGTCCACACACTTGATAGGTATTTAACTGTGAGCTTTTTCTACAAAGCAATGTTCCTTTCAAACCCAAACATTGTGATCTTATGTTCTGTTGCTTCACAATCTCATGTTGGAGAGCTGCAATCCCTTTCGTCCTGTTCACATTTGCTTTAATGAATCAGTTATTCCAACAATTTTTAGAACTGAACCATTATGACTGGTTTAAAGCTCATAAGCAAAAAGGGTTAAAATGTTTATTTATTCACTACATGTTTCTGTACACGTCACACGTTATCTATGTCAGCTTGTCTTTGTGCTGTGCAGGGTGAGTGTTTTGTTTATGTCAGTGAGCCCACTATCAAGGTAAAGGCAGTAGTGAGTAGTGCGAGAGTTAAATCATCCCTTTTTCATTTATTTGTGGGCTTCTTCCATATTGATACACAGCTGAATGATTACTCACCACATGGTCGATTTCTCATCAATGATATCAGGGTTAGTGGGGATTATTGTTTCTATTGCTGTTTTCTGTTGCTGATGTGGTAGGTGGAAGTGGACATCAAAGCTCTACAGATGTCTGTTCATTGTGTAGTTATTAGGTTTAGGGAATCAAGTATTCTGAATCTTTACCTGCAGAGAATTTAACAAAACAACAATAGAGATCAGGGAATTATTTGTTATACAACTATTGAGTAATGTGCACCCTGACTATCTTGTTAAAACTTTGTTGTAATAAAATTTGATTATCATGTGCCCTTCAGGGCTTGAGAATGTGTTTCAACTTTGATAATTTGTCATAAGCATCAAATTACCATCTCACCCAGTGAATTAAAAAATACATTAATTTACGTTGTACACATATGATGGCTCAACCTTATTAACAGACCTCTCTGAATCTCTCACTATCCAAAATTTTCACAATATTATTTCGATTTTGAAACATATACTTATATTCATTTAAATCCACCCATCCATCATTGTCTATACTTGTTCATCCTTGCAGGGCCCAGGTTGGGCTGTTGCCTGTTTTGGTGCTAATTGTAGAGTGACCAGTTTATTAAAGGGCAACACAGAGACACATGGAACAAGCAGCCAAACACACACACCCGCTCATACCTAAGATCAATTTGAAGTGGACAATAAACCTATCGTGCTGTTTCTCTGGCCTGTAGCAGGAAAACGCTGCCCAGAGAAAGTCAATGCATGTAATATTACCACTGAATTGGTTTTGGATCAAATTGCATTATGGCCACAAGTTATGACCGATTTGTTCTTATTTGTTCCAAAAATATATTTTATCAAGTTTTTTTAGTTTTCATAACCTGGAGATTCCTAAGCATTGCTATTGCTGCGATAAGTAAATGTTTCTAATATTTACTTGTCTATGTAAGTAAATATTAGGTGACATTTACTTATCTTATGTGTCTAAGACAGTGGGCTATGTGTTTTAGGCCTAGTTCATACATATCCGGATCTTTTTAAAATGATGTAGCAGAGATATTTATTTCTGTAAAATAATCTTGTCCACACCTGATCAGTTTAAGAAAAGTGTTTATCTACACCAACCCGTTGAATTAAGGCACATGGCGTTGTTTTAAACATGCCAAACCCATAGGGGGAAATGTAGAGCAAAAATAAAAACTATATTAGCCAATCATAATCCTCCCAAACAACCACGACTTCCTGCTAAAAATTAAACATGCCACCAGGACATTACTTTGTGCGGACAGAGATAGAACTACTTTTAAATTCTGTGTTAAAATATAAAGTTAATAAGACATGAGACAGCATCAATGGGGAATAATGTAATAGAAAGTATGTGGAGACATATGGATGTTGAACTGCATCGTGTCTCTGAATTTGGAGGGATAGCTGGTATGAAACAGCTGACTTAAAAACTCTTTCTCCTTTGTAAACTCAAACTAATTACAAAGGAGAAAGACTTTATACTAAAAAAAACTATTAAAAGTGTATGAACAAAGTAAAATCAGCACCTCTTTGTTAGCAGGCATCTTTCCTCCACTACATGGACAAACAATAACAATGGTCACATATGACACGTCAGCAGCACGTTATTTGCTCCACATTGCAATGCGCTGACCACTAAATCTCCAGGTTAGAGGTCATTTGTCTTTTCATTTGTCTATACGCAAATGAAAAAATTAGCATTTGCAAATCTTCACTTGAGCCAGAGGTTTTATTATCAACCTTTTTGTAGCACTATTAAACAGAAGTTACATGTGGATTAAAGACCAAATCACATAAAAAGCTATTCAGTTTATCAGATATCTGGCTATGTGTGGATAACAAAGACTAAAGTCTAAACTCACTCTGCCTTTTTCCATCTCAAGACCATGGCCTGAAATTTGGAGGCACTAATCCTCATACCTGTGCCTTCATACTTGTCTGTGAAAGCTGTAGGTCACAACCTGATAAAGCCAATAGTATCACATCATCTGCAAAAAGCAGAAACGCAACCCTAAGGCCAACAAAACGGATTCCCTTCAATATCTTTTCTGCACCTTATGAACAACATCTGTGACAAAGGGCAGCCTCGTTAGAGTCCAACGCTTACTGAAATCAAGTCTGATAGTAAGTCATGCTTGACACTGGTCAGACAGGGACCTAACAGTCTGTATCAAAGGGCCTGATAACTCTGACCCTTTGATTGTCTCCTGCAGAGTACCCCCAGAGGGTTCCCCACGTGACACACTCAAATACCTTCTCTAAGTCTACAAAGAACATGTAGCCTAGTTGGGTGAACTCGGACACACCTAAAAAAAACTAGTTGTTCTAGTTGTAGAATGTGAAATTCTACCATATTCTGTGGAATAATTTATAACACCAGTTGAAGCTCAGGTGTCAATATATAAAGTCCATCATCCTCTGACAGAAGCATTTTAAGTGTTGATTCATTGCTCTGACATTGGCATTATCATTGAGTGTCATCAAAGGATTTTCACTAGGATGGTCTGGCCCACACAGAAAGATAAAACACTCAGAATGATTGTGTGCTGCAGGTGAATTCTCGTTCTGTCTCTTCTTATCTCTATATTGACCTTGCTCAATGTCCCCTCATTCCCACCCCACTCCTCAGAACCGATGACATGAGATATTGTAAGGGCAGAGTAATTGGATCAAACTGACAGAAAAAAGGCCAAGTAGTGCTTCCATGAGAAACAGGTTAAACTTACTGGTCTCCTGTAGTTGGCATTGGTTTAGCATCTCCTGACCTAATCAAAGCACATCACCTCTATTGTTGTGGAGTAGTGTTTGGCTCCTTGTGTTACTTCTAAAGGAGCTGCATATGCCACTGTAAGGTTGCAGTTTTCCTGAACTCAATCTGGCCTGGCAAATTGACAAGCAAGCAAATTTGGGGAAATTTGAAAGAGCAGACAGATTAATTTAAGGCCAATTATTCTTTTAAAGCTTAAATTAAGAGCACATTCTTTGATATGGAGCTACACCACAGAATATCCTCTAAGTGATGCAGAGGTCAAAAGGGACACCTCCTCTAACTACATTATAATGTTGCAGGATACAGGTAAGTTGCTGACATTTGATCAACACAGTCATATATCTTCATTTACTACCACACTATGTAAAAAATACAAAAAACTTTGATCTTCCTTAGCCTCCATGAAAATAAAAAAGGTTAAGGGTTTAACTTTTCATTTGCATTAGAGTAACATGGCCCAGGCTGAGTAACATAATGTACGGCAATTTGATTGGATAAACCTTAGAGTTTGTTAAGCAGCTTGAATTAAGATGACCCCCTCTCACCCTCACCTCCCTCGACAGTAGTACAACTCAAACTAGGTCATGTTGCTTAATTGTAGACCAATCAACCTTTATTAATGTAATGTCACTTTTATTTAACATGAATAAATGAGAAATCTCTCTGCTTGAGAAGTGAGCCGAGTGAGAGGCAGCACCAGAGCCAGTGTGGGCACGATGGAATTTAACCGTTTCATCCGGTGAATATTAATGTTCCTCCAAGATTATAGGGATTATTAGTTCTTTTCTCAGCTGACAATGGGGTTATTTTCAGAAGCTATCGATTAAATTGCTGAGGGATTTACCTTTGATATGAACAATCCCACATGAGGAGCTACTTTTAGACGATGAAGAGTTCTAATTTGGAGCTACTCCTCAATCACTTTATTTGTTTTGAAAACACCTGAGAGATTCAGATGAGGATGCAGTTTTTGGAGGCTCTTTTTGAAAGTCCAACATCTTATGTTCCCTTTAGGCCATTAAAAAGGGTGACAGAGCTTAGGAAGATTAAAATGAATAATTACTATAGCTCTGTTGTTTATAAAGTAGAAGCACCTTAATCAGCCATGACTAAAGTTAGTCATCTTTATATGAGCGTGTATATTTCTCACATTCCTCTCCTTAAACTTTGGACAACTGTCCTTCAGACTGTTGAATCAGTTAAATAAGGTTGACAGTTTTCATTATAATGAAAATGTAATTTCCACACAAAGGGAAATGGGATTGACTTTCTCAGCTAAAAACCATACAAACAGACTCCAAATCTTAAAGTTTTGAATACCATGTTTGACATTTGGTATTATGTATTAGGAGTTTGGCTTTCCCCAAACACAACATGGTGTTGTCTGTTATGAAAAATGTAACACTTTTATTCATTTCCATTCAGCAGAAGTGTAATATTTTTTTGTCTGATTTTGGAACAACACAGCATAACATTAACTCTTTTGCCATATTTTAAGGTTTTATTTTACCACCAGATTCAGACAATGAATCTGGTGGTAAAAAATAGATGTCAACTTGGCAAATGCGCAAACCTGAAACTCCTCCTATACTACAAGTGTGAATGTAAATCAGATTTTGATCAATTTAATAATATCTGTATTTTTGTTGTATATACATAAAAGCATAGAAATGTATTTTTTTAACTAGCTAACCAATATTTTGTCTTTATTTTTTCCCAGATGGAGTGGCTATTCCTGCTCTCTTTTACCATAGAGTACATGTCCAGTTGTTGGTGCAGCTACACTGAACATTGTTTGTGTGCTCTCTGTTAATTACCACAGGTTTAGTCCCTACGAGTGGCATAACCCCCATCCCTGCAACCCTGACTCTGATGTAGTGGAAAACAATTTCACCCTGCTTAATAGTTTCTGGTTCGGAGTTGGAGCTCTCATGCAGCAAGGTAGACGCCTCTGCCTGCTCCTCCTTTTCTAGAACATGTCCCACTTTTTTGCTGGGGGTCAAGCATTCTCTGAAACAGGCCCATGATCATGCATGGGGGCCTCTGTGCATGTAGTCAGTTGCTCTATAGGTTGCCCAGCAAAACAGATTGAGTGGAATGAAAGTAATGCAAACAAGAAATTGGTATGGTGCTGCTGCATGTTTCCCATCTCCATTTGACTTTGACTTAGAATTACCTCTTCCCCCTTTCACTTCCCTGTCTATCCTAAGCCACACAGTCAGGTAAATGCACATATAAAGAGTATTTACAGAATATTGGAGTGGGGTCAAAGGGATAAGTGTGACTGAGAATGTGACACAGGTTTCTAAACAAAGATATGAATAAATATCATCTCAACTATTTGCTATCTTAAAATAGAACGGTTTACGATATGCAGGGCAAGTAATCATACAAATTATAGGGCATGAATCTTTGGCAAATGTGGCATTCTTTCAAACTGTATTTGTTTCAAAACAGTTACAATATATTAAGAATCAGCAGCAATTCTGTGAGTTCAGCAAAGGAAGTCATTAATCTGACAAGTTAGAATAATCAGACTTGTAACAATACAAAAAAATAATGATTTTAAATGTGTTGTGTTGTTTAGGTGAGTCTTTCTTACTTCTTGTATGAAGCACTTGAAAAGAATTAATTGCTCGAGTATAATACTAATAATAATAATAATAATAACTACTTTCTTTCTTCTACTGCTCTTCAGGTTACCAAAACAGCTACACATAATTCTAGCTTAATTAAAGGATTTTTTAAAAGTTTCTTTATAACTAGGCAAGGCATCTTACTTAGATATCAAAAACCAGTTGCTCATTTCTAAAAAAGAATTTTGTTGTTTTTGTCTAACGTAGGACTAGTACAGTAATAATTTTTGGCTAGGCAACTTTACTGTCCAAGGAGCCAGTTTTACGCTCAATCATGCAAAATAAGTTGTTTAGAGATGCAAAGGTCATATTATATTTTATATTATGTGATTAATATATATATATATATAAATATATATATATATATATATATATATATATCAACATATTACCTTGGGTATATATATATATATATATATATATATTATATATATATATATAGGTCTTGAATAAATATAAAAAAAAAACAATGCTAATAATTTTCGATAACTATCTACTTGTCATTGTCAATGTCATTTTATTTTTGTGCTATTTATGATTTTCTTTTTGATTACATTAGAATAAGCAAAAGCAACACTTTTGCAAAAAAAGATTGGATGCATTTTCTACTATGGGTTGGTGATATTTGTGGAAAATATGTAAAAATAAATATATGCAGAGTTACCAACCTAATGACAAGAAAAATACATTAAAAAGTATGTCTAATGTAATTTTGATTAATTTCATTCAATGCACTTGTTCCATGAAAAAAATGTAACTAGTAAAATGTGCATTTAAAAACAGAAGTTGGTTATTTATCATTTTTAGTCAAAGTTATTGAGAGCCATTGTGGAAAGTCCAAAAAGCCACTTGTGGCCCTGGGCATAGGGCCCAGGCTCCTGGTTGAAGATTTGCAAACAGTTATAGAGGTTATTAAAATCGTCACGACAACTAACTAAAATCACTGTGAACATGTTTCATGAATGTATTAGTGATGCAATATTGTGCAACTGCTCTCCATCAACAGTATAGGAATCATTAAAGTAAAAATTATAATAATGTTCTGCATTAATACAATTTTGCAATAGTGATGTGGATATATGTTTTAGCTGTGGCATTACATCCATATTAGTGTGATGAGAAGCTAATTAATTGAAACTTTGACCTAATTGGTTAAGAAGCTATGTTTGAGAAACACAAGCTTGAGGAACTAGGCTGGACAAGCTTTCATTGATCTACAATGTAGAGAGGCTCCCCTGTGTGGCGGCTTGCCATCCCCCAGAAATCTGTGGGACGTGCTGTTTGGTCTTGACGTTACCTTGGGTACATGACAGTCAGCCCCAACCAGGTACTGTTTTGGTCCAACCGACCTCTTCGAAAGGGTTTCTGACAATACGGAATCACTGGATGGTAACATGTTCCACTTTGAACTGTCTACTAGCTGTGCTTGTAATGGAACATGCTAAGAAAGTTTCAAGTTCTACTCCAATCCTGTGTGTTACTTTTATCTTTTCTGTTTATTTGAGTAAAGACAGTGGGCACAGTGGGTCGTTGATGGTGATGTTGGGTAACTTTAACTATAGAAACACTCCATTTCAAACCAGATAAAGACATGCATTTATTCCACTTAACTATAGCACTCTAATAAAAGTGAATGTTTGGGCAACTTCATTTTTTGCCATGGGGCCCAAGATCCCTGGTGGTGCCCCTGCATAAAGCTTCACTAACCTAAATCAATTTGAAATTATTCATGTTCATTTGAAAAATATTTTATTCCAAAAGAAATTAAATGCATATCACCTAACTCATATAATCAACATATCTTCAAAGAGCTGTTGTGATGCTGTGGGCAGGAAAAATATCTGAAAGCAGCCTTGCAACAAATCTGAAGAGACCTCTGACCGAAGACTTCAGTATGTCAAGATAATGTAATAACTATCATGACATGTTAAAAGTTTAATTTCTAGGCAACAGAGACAATATGTCACAGTAACATGTCCTGGATGATATTATCAGTTGTTGGCAAACACTGCTAATCCACCTCATTTGCTTTCGATGCTCCTCTTTAAATCTCTGTCTGGCTGTATTGTGACAAAGCCGGTCAGAAAGACTTTGGTTTACAATCAAAAGTTGAGCTGGTTTGAACGTCTTCCTTTTCTCTCTGCTCTTCGGTCCTGTTCTGGATCCATCAGGCTTCATTTTCACCTACTTTGGGATTTGGGGACATAGTTAATCTTTGGGATGAGCTGTGAGATGTCATAAAGCTGTAAAGATGACAAAAGACTGCCTTTTTAGAGGTGCCGTTACGTTTGTTGAAAGTCAAGACAAAATCTATGCAATTCAATTCAAAAATACTTTAATGATCTCAAAGGGAAATTAAACACCAAAACAAATAGTTTACTAACAGGACCTCACAAAAGCTTTCAGAACTTTGTGGCCTTATGGCCTGCCTTTCCTGCTCCGTTCCAGTGTCTGCAGCAGCTGCACTTAGTTTGTCATCTCTTTCCTCCTCTACTAGACAGCTCACGCAAGGGACTGCGAGAGAGAAAGTTTGATGAGAAGTAGAAATGCAAATGGAGGATCATAAAAGGAGCATAGCACAGAGTTCTTAACCTTGTATTGTTTGCTCTATTTGTCAGCTTTCTGTCTTAATGAATGGGGAAAAACATCTTTGTTTCACCTTCTCAACAGTTATAAACACAGTGCAACATGACTGAAGAAAGAGCCACCCGGCCTGTAAACACTCACTGGTTACCATGGTTACTCACATTTATCCTGCTGTTTTAACATTCATTAGCATGTTGTCAGTTTACTACAACTTTTTTTCACAGAGTGATAAAATAAGTTATTCTGCCAAACAGACATTAGTGAATGATAATACCTCTTAATGACCCATAAGCATTAAATGGAGACGAGTCGATAAATAATGAGAGAAAATGTTCCAAACATCGAACTTTACTCAGAAGCAATATTAAAACAATTTCTTTAGGGTAAGATCATGGACTATGGATACGTCAAAACCCTCTAAATAAAACAAACATATCCATGGTGAGCAGTAAGGGGACTGGAAAAGGGTTTTTCTAAAATGTAAGGTTCAATGACACTGTGCTAAAATTAAAACTTCTCACAACATCAGACAGAGCAAAGCTGCATGTCAGAGTTGCGCCAGTGTTATATCTAACATAACACTAGTTGAAGAAAGATGATCTGTATTGGCTGCGAGTTGTGAATAATTTTTTAAGCACGTTGTACTTAGTTTAAATAGTTAGACTAAATTATTCTTGCCTGCCTTCTGAAGCCGACATGCGCAGTCGAGTGGCTGCTGACGCACCATGATGATGACTGATAATCCCTCTGTGGGTTCACCTTACTTCAATACCTCAAACACTCACACTTTCTCACTCCTTTCATACAATATTTAGCTTCCTAATATTTATCCCATTTTGTACCCTAGGCCTTGTCCTACATTTAACAGTTACCAGTACCTAAACACAAGTCATACCTTAGCCCTAAACCTAATCCCCAACTCAACAGCACTTTTTCTTATGTGGCCTGGGCTTTGAGTCTCATGAGGACCAGTGGGACCTCACAGTGTAGTATATGTTGAGGAAAATGGATCTTACAAAGTGAGAAATGTTAAAACACACACACACATGTTCTGTCATTCTGTCTAGATGTTTCTTTATGCAGTAAATATATTTTCTAAAAAGCTTGTACACAAACATCAACTAAACCCACTTAAGAAAACATTGAAAATAATAAATGATGCATGAGTCTAAATAGTGTCAATATTTTACAGCCTCTTCAAACTATTACAAAAATGGTTCCTTTCCAGATGCAACAAAGATGCAGAATTGTTTAAGTTATGCTACTTATACAACTGGAAAAAATTTATAATGGTGCAAGTAAGAAGTATTCATCTCTCACCTGACTCCATTGAGATCACACTTTGCAACAGCTTCTGTAGTTCAAAAGCAGAGGCAGCAAATATTTGACCAGTAAAAGTTGTATATAATCTGATGGACATAGCAATTGTTTGTCTAATAAAACATAAGAGTAGGTCACCAGAATAAGAACTACTATCAGTTTTCATCAACCTACACACTCTGTTCACTCTGTGCCTTCCTGTTAGCATGAATTATCAAGACAGCAGATGCTTTGGTCCGGTCCAACCTAGTTGTGGCGCTTCTCCCTCCCTGACTCAGGCTTTCATCCCAGCCTTACCCCGTTTTCTGCTCCTTTCATTCAGGATCTGAGCTCATGCCAAAAGCTCTCTCTACCAGAATTGTGGGAGGAATTTGGTGGTTTTTCACTCTTATCATCATCTCCTCCTACACGGCAAACCTGGCGGCTTTCCTCACTGTGGAGAGGATGGAGTCGCCGATTGACTCTGCAGATGATCTAGCTAAGCAAACAAAGATTGAATATGGAGTGGTAGAAGATGGTGCCACAATGACTTTTTTCAAGGTAAGTGGAACATAGTTAATGTTGTACAGAATTCCACTTGTCATTACTTCCAAGTTTGGGTTCATATGTAATGAGTGAAACAGCACCCCCTCCTGGTGGTTGGCAGTGTGAAGTATATTGAACACAGATATTTCGTTGCCAGTTCTTGAGAGATGGGCGCGAGGTAGGTTCACTGAGTTCAAGACTCCAGTAAAATGTTCTGTTAGCTTGATGCTGACATAAAATACTGCTCCTCGTAAGATGCTTTACCCCCTCTGTGATGAACCTGGTTCCTTTTTTTTATCAGGCCAAACCATACAGTGCAATACCATATCACTGGTCAATCTATCCACCAAATTGCTATAATTTCCTTTTGTGTTCTATTTATATTCTTTGTTTTGTATTTAATTTGAATTTTTTTGTGTATGCTTACTGTGTGCCACATTTTTGCCTGTGAGCTGCTGGTAACTATAATTTCCTGAGGGAGTCTTCCCAAGGGATCAATAAAGTCAAGTCTAAGTCTCTCTAAGTCTGATTAGTCCATATTCTGTTTCGTACAGATAAACCACCTTTCATCTCATCCTGTCTCCTGGCCCCTTATTCACAAAATGCAGAATTGATTCTGAACGATCACAATTTAAGAGGTTATATAAACTATAGCAGAATATCACAAAACCCATTGTATTTTTCCAACCAGATCATTTTAATGCATGTGCTGTATTTATATTAAGTGTAAAGGTGCAGCCAGTATGTATGCTACTTGTTTTTTATAACCTCTTGATGTATATTTGTATTTTTTTTTCAAGTCTAATTTTGTTTAAGTGACTTCCCTCAAAAATTAAGGTGATCAAAAAATGAAACAAAATTTAAATGTACAGCATATACGCATAGTTATGATCAGAGGTAATAATTCCATCTTTAAAAAAAAAACATGACTTCTGAACTTTCCAGACAAGCTAGGGCTAACTCTGTTTGCTAATGTGACCTGTAGAGACAAAGGCCATTTAGAAGTGGCAAAGACATATCCATTTCAAACTTAAAAAAATAAATAAAATCAAAGAGTGGAGGACCGGATGACTGATCACAAAAATTACAGAAGAGGGAGGCATTGCAAAGTTGTTGGTCCATTAACTTGAAGTGGGTTGAGAGTGAGGTAGGAAAGGAAGCCATTTTTTGCAAGTGCTGCAGACATTTTCCTGGGCTTTATATAGCAGATATGTGAGAATTTCTCAATGCCCGACAACTTGATGGAATTGCCTGCTTCCATCAAATTGAAGTGCCTGTTTGTACCTAATCAAATGACTCAAGATTTTGATGTTGATCTACAGGATGAACCCGACTTCTATTACCGCAATATAGACTGAAATTACAAGCACCACTTGAGCCAAAGTTTTGAAATCAAGGAATATTTCTCTACTTGAGGCAATCAGAAGTTGGCTTTGCTCTCTGAACAGGGACAGCAAGAGAAAATGAATGTTTAGAACAGCATTTGGAAATGAATTTGGCAATATTAACATGACTATTTACAAGAAAACAAGACAGAGTGAATTCTCCATATAAATGGTCTCCATAAACTGCATTCCTCTACAGAAAAGCAAAATGTAACCAAAAGACCAAACACTTAGTAATGGAGATGAACATGAACATGTGATTCATGTTCCATAGAGAACGTAAGCCTGCTTCTAACCAGTTCAGACTTGGTCTCCTCCAGCCAGATTTGTTTTCCATAAGTAAATCTGACACAGTTTAACTATGATCAGCTCCAGGAACACATGGTTAGTTTTGCAGCAGAATGACTGTGCTTTAGTAGTGCTGCTAACAAACAAGAACAGAAATGATGGAGCTGTGGTCAACTTTCTGACCGAGCTGCGGTTTTTTGCTGAAACACTGGAAATACAAAATACAATTTTTTGTGAACCATACACACCTAGTCCAAATTGTCACCCCTGAGTAATAATATTTTACAAAGCAATAACTTTTGCATTTAAGTATTATCTTTATGTTTACTTCACAAATGTGTGTCAATCATGAGTACTGTGACAGTGTTACTGTAACAAATTAACATATTAGCCTTCTTTGAAGTTAGCTAACACTAGTTACCTAGCCAACTAGCTAACATTACTGCCTATATTTTATTGTGCATGTGTATTATTTGTGTGTGCGTGTCTGTGTGTGTCTCTGTGTGTGTTCGACACCCTAGAAGAGAACACCAAAAGAGAAAATGTATTGAATGTCATGCAAAACCTATTGACCAATGTGTTCAAGGTTCTTTCTTTTATCATCTCAATAAATAAAACAGAAATCAGAGCTATATAAATAAATGCATAAATAAATGAGCTGGGAAAGAAAAGAATGCCTTCTCCAGGTCGGGGGGTGGGGATGTCCTGCCCCAAGTGGAAGATTTTAAGTATCTCAGGATCTTGTTCACAAATGAAGGGAGTGTGAGATCGACAGACGGATCGGTGCAGCGTGTGGTGTGATGTGGACGCTGTACTGGTCTGTCATGGTGAAGAGAGAAATTTGTCAAAGAGCGAAGCTCTTGATTTACCGGTTGATCTATGGTCATGACCAAAAAGACAAGGTCACGGAAACAAGCGGCCGAAATTAGTTTTCTCCGTCGGGTGTCTGGGCTCTCCCTTAGAGATAGGGTGAGAAGCTCAGATATCTGGACTCGATATCCGGGAGGGACTCAGAGTAGAGCCGCTGCTCCTTCATGTCGAGAGGAGCCAGTTGAGGTGGCCCAGGCATCTGGTCAGGATGCCTCCTGGGCGCCTCCCTGGTGAGGTGTTCCAAGCATGACTCACTGGGAGGAGGCCCTGGGGAAGACCCAGGACACGCTGAAGGGACTATGTTTGCCAGGTGGCCTGGAAATTCCCCTGTAGGAATTGGAATTAGTGGCTGGGGAGAGGGAAGTCTGGGCCTCTCTTTTGAAGCTGCTGACCCGACGACCCGACCCCAGATAAGCAGAAGAAGCATTTCCACCTTGTGTGGTTGGGTGATGGTTATCATCTGCACACACACTGGCTGTGCATGTGGCATCAAGCTCCTTGTCTCTGGGCTATACAAGCCTGAATTATTTTGCATTAGCCATAAGACAGACGGGAGGGACACCACCAGCATGGTGACTAAATCATGCAGATAAAGCTTATTGAGATGATGTGTTTAATGCCGCAGAGGGAAAAGAGGCAGTACATGGAAGAGCAGAGCGTGGAGGAAAAATCTGTTATATCCTCTAACTTCATACTACTCCTTCATAAATGTAGAATTCGACCAAACAGTTTATATTTGAATCTAAATAATAGTGTTATTGTTAAGACTGAATTATATCTATTAATACAGGCATAGCATCCTGCATTAATCAAACGTCTTTCACAGAAAAGAAACTTATTACTATTTTCTCACACATGTTTCGAATACTCATGTTTTGGACTAGGAGTTATAGTGTGTTAAAATAACTAGGCGGTCAAAAGAGTGCATTAAAATGACATTGTTTTTATAACTGTCATAAGCAACAATAATCAGAGCTATAATCATCTGTTTTGGATGTTAAAGGAGTTTTTACATGCAGCAGATTAGCTTCCTTACTTTTGAATCTAAAATTAGACCTTATTATGACTTAGGTTCTAATATTTCTGAGGTCAGGTGCAGTTGGGAGTTAGGAACTTCTCAAACATACAATAATCTCTTAATTCAAACCTCCCAAAAGGGAGAAACACACTAGAAAAAAAACAGAAGTAACTTCAGACAATTCAGCTTAATCATACACGTTCACAAAAATTGTAATCTTAAAATACTGTGCAATATAACTAACAGCATTTACCTATGGAAATATATAGTCAATTGCATCTAAAAAGATGCATATTTATTTATAGTTAAACACATTCCAATTCGATCCTACTTTGAATGCTGTCAAGTTCAGTCAATGAAGTCAATTAGTCAGAAAATTAAAACATCTATTTAAAGAAACCTGGCGAAATGCCTCGAGACACAGACCTGCATCATTCATACCTCCTCAACAAGCATGCATGGAAAGTGAACAGTTCATTATATGAAGTTGTTAACATTGTATCAATCCTTCCTATAGAGTCTGCATGCTCAGCAGACACACGAAATGCGTGACATTGCCAAAAGACCTGTAGTAAATGTTTATGCACTTCTTCAACAGAAACATTTTGTCTTGCTTTTTAGGCTTTAAAATGGGCTTTGGGAATTCTTTGCCTCCTTTTTAAAATACTTTTTATTTCTACTTACATTTTGTTAAAGTAACTCAATGGATCTGAACCTCAGTGACTTAATGTAGTGTCAGTGCAAAAAAAACTGATGTAACAATTATGCAATTATGCTTTGCTATGCTACCGTACCACCAATATAAAAACCATAGCCACTAATACAGAAGCATATTCTGTTTATGGTTGAGGCATTTTTTATTAAGCCTGTTTAAAATATATGCAAGGTGCTTTGTCGAGTAGAAAGTGGCAGCTTTTCACAAGTGATGATTTATTTTGATGAGAAGTGATAACACAAAAACACCATAGATATGAAGTAGAAAAACAGTGACACATGCTGTATTATACATCCCCATTAATGTTCTTTTCTTGAGGCCTAGTTCATACATTTTAAAACAATTTAGCAGAAATATTCATTTCTTTCAAATAATTTTGTCCACACCTGATCAGTTTAAGAAAACTTCAGTCATCAAAAGCCACTGTCCTGCAGGTTTTAGAGCCACAGGTACAGAATACTGGAATGAAATAGCTTAATTACCTCCTCCTTGTGTGGATCAGATCTCAGATCAGAGCCTTAATGACCTAATTATTCTATTCAGGTGGTGCAGCAGAGGCACGTTGGAAAGTTGCAGGTCAGTGGCCGTCCAGGACTGGAGTTTGACACCTGTGATCTACGCCACTGAGTGTTGTTTTATACATGCCAACCCCATGGGAAGTGTAGAGCAAAAATAAAAACTATATTAGCCAATCATAATCCTTCAAAACAACCATAACTTCCTGCTAAGAATTAAACAT